CAACAATATTGCTCATATATGTATATATCGCTGTCATTAATGTAAGCCAAATCAAACCTGAAACGGAGAGAAAATCAATGATTTGATCACTCCACGAAACAGGTGCCACTTCTATCTTTTAAAAGTAAAATCTGCTTGACCTTAAACATAAATGGCTTAATATAACTTAAACTTAATATATGTTGGGTTCTACATTCAGCAGCTCAAGACCTTTCCATGTGTTCATTAGAAAGAGAATTTGGTGCTGATGTTTATTGTCCAGTCAGTTTACTATATAAAATCATGATATGGTTCCACTTAACTACATTATTAACTCAAAATTAGCAATACTTCTAAAGCATTTATTAATTTCAGTTAATTTCAACAGTTACTAATACATTATTAAAATCAAAAGTTGTATCTTTTAATATTATTTAATGCACTTGAGCCAACGTGAACTAACACTCATGAATTACACACATACACACTTTTGTTTGTTTTTAAACGATTCCCATTTAGCTTTAGTTTATTTTTCTTTCAGTATTAGTTTTGGTAATTTTAGTATTTCATCTTAAACCTAGAACAAATAGAAAACTTGCAACTAACTAAAATAAGTAATTTGTTTTTCCATCTATTATTTACATTTTTAAAATGTTTCATAGTTTTAACAACACTAATATCATGTACTTCTATTATTTTCATATAAATTTCATCATAATGACCACATATTAACCAGAACCTTTTTTGTAAACATAGTATTTTTAAACTTTACACTTTCTGTTTATTTTTTTTACTAATAAGATCGTTCCCAAATATTCCCGAGAGAGGTTCAGCTTTAGATTAATGCAATAAATTGATCAAGTGATAATGACATGTCTCAATGATTATCGCCCTGTAGCACTGACTACCATCACAATGAAGTGCTTTGAACGACTGGTCAAAAAACACATAAACTCCACTTTGCCCTCTTCACTAGACCCTCTACAATTTGCATATCGCCCCAACCGCTCAACAGATGATTTTTGAATGCAGTCAAATAGAAAATGGTTTTTGATAAAATAGAAAACAGTAACAATATGTTTGATCAAATATGCAGCCTTCGTGAAAATCCTAATGATTCCAATCTTTTGACTTAAAAAAAAAAAATGGAACTCTAGAGATTGAGAGTGTGCATGCGAGCGAACATGACTGCACCCAGAGCAATATACCACAGTTATTGATATTAAAAACCTGTTTAGCAAATATTTTCTGAGACGTGTCAAGTACGATAAATTACCCTTTGATAATGATGATAATTCTCGGATAAAGTAAAGACTCATGCTCAACTATAAAGCTTCATTGTTCACACCTTGGTGACCAGGAGAGACTTTCAAAAACATTACAAAATCTTAATGATTTTGACTGCCAGTGTATCTCACACACACACACACAGACACAGACACACACACCCCAAGATGATTACATTATACGAGTTTACCCCCCCAAGATTACTGTTATAAACTTGAGCCGCATCCAAAAGGTAAAGGAGGAGGTGTTGCTTCAATTTATAGTAATATTTTTAGTATTTCTCAGAGGGCGGGCTTCAAGTATAATTTGTTTGAAGTAATGGTGCTTTATATAACATTATCTAGAGTAAAATTGACATGTGCAATACTGTAATACAGGCCACCAGGGCACCATACAGACTTTATCAAAGAATTCGCCGATTTTCTATCTTGAGTTAGTGCTGGCTGGTGGTTGTAATACGCATGAAGTTAATGAAAAAGATGCATTAGGATCAGCATTTATAGATATTCTAAACTCTATTGGGGTTAGACAACACATGTCAGGACCTACTCTTTCTCGTAATCATACTTTATATTTAATATTATCACTTGGAATTGATGTCAGTGGCATTGGACACTGTCGACCACAACATGTTTGCATTAGTGGAATTGCACTGTCATCCGTCTTATCAGCGCTACAGATCACGGAGCACCAAAAACAGCCAGACATAGGAAAAGCTTCTTCCCGCAGGCCATCTACCACACGAACAGCTAAATGATCTACCCACTGTGCAAAAAAACAAAAACATGTGCAATAGTCAAGTCAAGTCACCTTTATTTATATAGCGCTTTTAACAATACAGATTGTGTCAAAGCAACTTTACAGTATTAAATAGGATAATAGTGTGTCAACAATGCAAAATGATAATAGTAAACACTCAATTTTCAGTTAAAGGCAGTTCATTATTGAATTCAGTGATGTCATCATCCAGCTCAGTTAAGTTTACATAAATACCGAACTATCCATACTTATATTTATTATACATGTTATTGATTTAACGTCTCTTACATCTATACAAATTCCCTTGCATAATTTACATTTAGTCATTTAGCAGTCATTTTATGTATTTAATTTGTATATAGCATATCTTTATTGTCTATTGTCTTTTTGTCTATTGTGTATTGTTTTTCACATATTTATTTTTAATGACTTGTTTATTTTGTTATCTGTGTCTTGTCACTTGTCATCCTGTCTGTGCACTGGAAGTTTCTGTCACCAAGACAAATTCCTTGTGTGTGTACGCACACTTGGCAATAAAGCTCTTTCTGATTCTGATTCTGATCAATTTGTAGCAGTGAATGAAGAGGTATCATATTGTGCAGTATGGAATACTACAAGACTCAGTACTAGGACCGCTGCTTTTCATGCTTCACATGTTTTAAGGCTTTTCTGTAGGAGAAAGTACTTTCCCTCCATGCAATACGAAATACCTCTAGTTAGAGAGAAAGAATAGGATTAAATCGCTGCTAATTTGATGTTTTATCATTAAGAGAGTTTCTCTTACCTTACTTTCCTCCATCGCTGGCCAACCATGCGCTGCTCTGATGTATTCAATTTATAAATGAAGCATTAGACAGAAAAGATGGACAGATGATGAGGGTCTCTTCGCGTTTACTCTCCCTCACCGCCGTTTCAGCATCAGCTACTAAACACTCAACTTAAAGGTACTAAAGAGTCTGTAAGCGGCCAGGTCTAATACTTTAAGCAGCTGAGGGATGCTGGATGGTGCTTGTAAATGGACGCGCACGCTTGAATTACTATTAACTGGAATGTCCACACAAGATGTTAAATTGTTCACTGTTGTAGATTTATTTTAATATTACTGGTCTTCATTTCCATGTAGGCAAGAATCCAAACAAACAGTCAATAAATAAATACCAGTCCTTCACCTTTACAAAGACTTGCATAGCGTGGTACAAACAGCCTAGCGTATCGGTGCACCTTCCCTCCAGCAACACCTGTTACCTAAGGGAAGGTTCCCACCTATATTCTGTGAACAATCAACCAAGAGTGAAACCCCTACTGGACATACACGTACATAATTTAAAGTAAAGACCAAAATGGCTCTTATAGAGTCATTAGTCACTGTACTTTTATCTATATGTGAGAAACTGCTTTGTTGTTCGCCATGGTCAACCTGAAGTCTAATTTCTGCAGCGAAATTAATCATTCACTCATCGAAAATTCCTTGAAAAACACTCCGTATAACACAGTTCGGGGAAATACTGCAACTTGTTTCGCCCCGGTCCTAAAAACACTAAGAAACCGGTCAGGAAAAGATCTGTCAGCCGTATGTTTGTGTTCAGCGGAGCTCAAACTTATAACTTTATTTTAACACTTTGTCTATGTATATAATCAAAGACATGGCAAACATAATGGATCCCAAAATTGAGTACAATCACATGAGGAAATAAATATCCATGCTTTAGATCTCCCAAAATCTCCAGTGAAATCTGACAAAACATTATTCTTCGGACATCCTGAAATTATAAAGATGATGCATTGTTTTGTGCTTTTGCATTCATTTAAAACAATTTAATTATGCCCTCATTTATAATTTAATTAATATATCCCAGTGGCGTTCCGTCTATATAAGCTTCGAGTTGAATGAGTTCATGGACTAATTAACATAAACATGATTATAAGTTGATCCCTTGTCATTTAAGATGTAACGTAAAGCTTAAAGTGTTGGGAATAAGTACGTAAAATAATTTATTTGAAAAACAACGGTAATTTTCTGTAAATCTACGTCAGTTGTGGTTGCTTCCGGGCAAGCGTATTCTCCGCAGCTTTCTCGCCTCCGCTCTATTGCTACGAAACTCGTCAGGATTGTAGCACGCTCTCAGTGGTTTGTAAATAAAATAAAATAAATTAAAGTAAATAAATTGGTTTCATAAATTTTGTATCGTATAGGCGTTTCGTCCAGACAGATCCAGCGTTTTGGGAGAGTGAAACCGATATTTTTTTTAATCGGGTCCCAGAGTGGATAAATCTGAAAACGCCACCCTTGTGTTTTCGTGTGGACAACGAATCCATATATTTTCTGAAACGATGACGTAATCAGCCCACGTCTCGCCGCTAGTCGGACACCGTTACGTCACATAACAGCAACAAAAACATGAACAAACACTGAACGATTGTCTTTTTATTAACTAACATTAACACAGATTAATAAATGTATTGTTCCA